TTATCTGCTAATGCTTTCTTCTTAAAGCCCATCTTGCTGTCAATTCTGGCTGGCAGCAACACAGATCTACCAATGTCCAGGGCTTTAGAAATATACTTTACAACAGTAAACACTAGCCTGACACCAATTAAAGTGCTTATAAGAATATCATGGACTGCAGTGAGCAGTCCCCACTGAGATGAGATGAGAACTGGCTCCAAAAGGTTGGTGCTTAGCAATTTCCTTAGAAATGAAAAATTCAGTAGGTAAAATGACATGGCAATTCATATGAAAAAGAAGTTTCCTCTATCAGAAAACCTCCAGGAGTTTTGAATTCAGCTAGGGATATCAGAAAGAAATTTAAGTCTAATTTGAAATTCCCACCCACGTTCCTTCTCCTGTCCCTGCAAAGTGATTGCTGCTACTGGTCCACTCACTGGCAGATCTTCTTTCAGAAGTGAGACACAATTTGTCTAAAAAATACCTTTCTGTTCATGATGGAATCATTCATTTTGAAGGAAGGGTTTGCAGAGACAGTGAAAAGAGCCTGAATGTTCTTATTTCCCTCTGTTGTCAGTGGGGCTCAAATTTCATCCCCAAATTTTTCTTGGCACGATTGGCTGAACAATGTATTTCAGAACTGAGACATTGGCCAAGAGAAGTCCTTGGACACCTGCAAAGCCTTGCACATCTCTTTTCCACTTGTGTTGATGGCACCACATCTCTCCCTGGTACTGCTCATAAAGAGAACAAATGTGTGGCGATAGCAAATTAAACAAATGAGCCATTAAAAATGAAGGGTGCACTGCCCCTTCTCTCCGACACGTATTTTGGTGCCCACAACCTCTTCTAGAGAAATTACAAGGATAAAAGGCTCTCAGAGATGTGCTGTAAGTGTGGTCCAGGCACTGAGAGATGCCTGTGGTTCCTTCTGAGAGGAAACCGTATGTCATTCATCAGCAGGGAAGCCAACAAACCACTAATGGATCTCCATGTTGTCTCTTGACAGGTATTGACAGAAAGCGGTTTTGGTGCCATCACAACAGAAATCCGGGAGGCTCCGGAGTTTTATTACGCTGAAGATTACCATCAGCAGTACCTCAGCAAGAACCCCAATGGATACTGTGGCCTCGGGGGAACGGGGATTTCCTGCCCCATCGGGATCAGGAAATAGCTTGTGCTCATGCCACCCCCAGTGCTTTGTTCTAGAGGGTTGTTCTGAAAAGGCCGACAGCGATGAGAGGTGTTCTGGTACCCACAGCATCAGCACATCAAGATTTGGGATGGCTTGCTGTAATCTGAGCAGTTTCCTGTTCATTGACATTAAAAGCCAAGGAGATTTGGAAATTTTGCTTGCTGGCCAATGCAGCTTCTTGCTCTGTGCAGTTCCCTGGTTTCCCCATAAGCTTGAACTTTAGAGAGGAAAGAAACTTCTTAAAGTTTGGCTTGAAACGCTGTTAAAGGGATGGATTATGGGGTGGCTGCACCCATTAAGCACTTTGCATAGCTAATGTCTATAGGCATACTTATTTTCTTGGATTGATGAATTTGTTCATGCTTTAGCTTTGACTTCTGGAGACATGGCTGAGCTCATCTTAGCTATCACAACCCTGTAATTTGATGTCTTTGAGAATGATGAATTTAGAAGATCAGTAATTCTCTCACAATTCCACTTTTGCTGCAACGTGTAATATCACCTATAGTGCCTATTTTCTGAAGCAATTTTAGTAAGAAAAAGTAAAAATTGTAATGTGATACTTTTGACAGTTCCAAAAAATGTACAAACACAGAAAGAAATCAATTTGGTTTCCTGCACTACAATAAATTACAAAGACAGGAAAGAAAAATGCTATCTCCAGTGTGTTCCCTGGCTCTAAATATATGTCTGGGTAGATCTGGAAAAGGTATCAAATATGAGAAAAGTCTGCAGCTTACTAATTAAACACCAGGGCTTTTTAAAATCAGTATTATTATGCATGACACTACAGAGGAGTATGCTAGGTGTACTGTAATGTAATTATTCCCATGATTAGCTATTTGTGCTTCAGTAGCTTGTGATGTCACCGCCAAGATTTTCTGGTCAACTGGAGAGGTCCCAAAGGGTTGAAGACTTGCCACTGTGACTCCCATCTACAAGAAGGTTCCTAAAGAGGATCTGGGGAGCTGCAGGCCACTCAGCCTGACCTCGGTGCCAGGAAAAATTATGGAGAAGATAATTTTGAGTGAGATCACATGGCATGTGCGGGACAACTGGGTGATCAGGTCCAGCCAGCATGGATTGAAAGTGAAAGGCAGGTCCTGCCTGGCCAACTTGATCTCCTTCTATGATGGAGTGACCGCTGCTGATGTGATCTACCTAGACTTCAGCAAAGCCTTTGACACTCTCTCCCACAGTTCTCTTGGAGCTTCTTCATACAGCTTCTCGTAGAGACTCATGGCTTAGACAGGTACTCTCTTTTCTGGGTAAGGAACTGGCTGGAGGGCCAGGCCCATAGAGTGAAGTCAAATCCAGCTGGTGGCTGGTCCAAGTGGTGTTTCCCAGGGATTGGTATTTGGGCCTGTCCTGTTTAATATCTTTACTGATGATTTGGATGAGGGCATTGAGCACATCCTCAGTAAGTTTGCAGATGACACCAACTTGTGATGAAGGATTGATCTGCCTGAAAATTAGGAAGGCCCTATAGAGGGATCTGAACAGGCTAGATAGGTGGGCAGAAGCCAATGGGATGAAGAACAACAAGACCAAGTGTTGGGTCTGGCACTTTGGCCACAACCCCAGGCAACACCACAGGCTTGGGGCAGAGAAGCTGGCTGGGAGACTGCGTGGAGGAAATGGGCCTGGTGGGGTTTGTCAGTGCTTGGCTGAACATGAGCCAGCAGTGTGCCCAGGTGGCCAAGAAGGCCATTGGTGTCCTGGCTTATATCAGAAATAGAGCTGCCAGTAGGAGCAGGGAACTGATCATCCCTCTGTACTCAGCAGCACCCCTCACTGCAAGAAAGACATTGAGGCCATGGAATGTGTTCAAAGAAGGTCAACGAAGCTGTAAGGGGTCTGGAGCACAAGTGTTACGGGAAATGGCTGAGGATTGTCTGGAGAAGAGGAGGCTCAGAAGAGACGTTATAGCTCTCCACAGCTACCTCAAAGGTGGGGTTTGGCCTCTTCTCCTGTGTAACTAGTGAGAGGAATGACCTCCTTGCATCAGGGGAGATTCAGGTTGGATATTACAAAAAATTATCTGAAATAGTGGTCAGGTGCTGGAATGGGCTGCCCTGGGAGGTGGTTGAGTCACTGTCCCTGGAGGTGTTCAAGAAACATTTAGGTGTTGTACTAAGGGACAAGATTTTGTGGGGAAATATTCGTAGGTGGACAGTTGGGCTGGATGATCTAAGAGGTCTTTTCCAACATCAGTGATTCTATGATTCTAAGATCAGAGCTCATTATGGTAGGTGCTGTGCAAACATAAGATATGGGACTGCATCTGCATGTACAGAACGCAGAGCAGCCAGAAAGAGACAAAGCCTTTCATTTCGGGGGATCTCAAAAGACCAAAAGCTGGAGATGAAGGATGTAGGCAATGCAGGGGATATCCTGTATGGGTACAGGATCTTTTGAGACCTATATACTTGCTATGGGATGTCTTCTTAGGTTAAACAACTTCAGTGAGAAAGATGGGGATAGGTTAATTCCACCTACACAGCTTGTTGCTTACGATATTTCTCAGACTGGTGAGAGATGTGGCCTTCAGCCTCTCGTTTCCTATTTTGGAAGCTGCCCGAATCACTGCTTTCAGAGGGCGTTGGTGTGTTCTCAGAGATGTGTAATGGAGCAACTTTGCTTTTCTTTGGAGAAAATTGGCAGGAGCTCATTTTGATGTGGCAATTCTGGACAGAGGAACACGTAAAGATTGTTCTGAGGGCCAGACAGTGAGGATGCAGAGACACACATCCACACCATTTCACTGGATAGCTCAATGATAACTGTTCTTTTTAAGAGGCTTATGCCTGGGGCAAGTTTGCAAGGAGCTGCTACTGGCAGGATTGCCATGTTAGGCTCCTTCTGGAGACACCCCAGAATGTGTCCGTATCACAGTTGGAATTTCCAGTTGCCATAGGAACTGGTCACCTATTTGTTGTTAGTGTTTACCTCTGAATCATTTTGTTGCTCACTGTCAAGGAAACCAGCACTTGTGCCCAATTTCCTAGGCATGGGGTGACATAAAAGAAAAAAAAAAAAAAGGAAAATAAAGTCTGACTTTCTTCCTATGCATTTTTAACATTGGTGCATTTCAGGCTTCAGCAGAATAACTCTTGGTTTGCTCCAGTGTACAGGGCAAAACATTTCATATTTTGAATCATTCTGATGCTCATAAGATGTTATCTGGTTTCCTCTGTCCTTTCCCCTCCCTTGCCCCCCACTCGCTGGTGCAGTTATTGTATCATTAAAGTGTTTGGAGAAAACACCATTCTGTCCTTAATACTGAGCTCAGGTCTGAATTTGACTTCTTTTGAGTCCTCTCTCCATATTTAGTGGAGATTTTCTACAGAAGAATTTTGGCCTTGAACTCTTGCAGTTGCTGTTGGAGGTACAAACAGTAGGGAGGATAAAATTAGTTAAGGAGAAATGATTCAGTTTCATGGATTGGTTTTCTAAGCTGGGTGTTGTTTTGTAAGCTACTCTTGTACACAGTTTTCTGGAAGGATGGGAGTGGTTGCCTCAGCATCTTTGGCTCTGTAATTCCCTGGAGGCATTCAAGGCCAGGCTGGATGTGGCTGTGGGCAGCCTGGTCTGGTGGTTGGAGACCTTGCACATGGCAGGGGGATCGAAACTCGATGATAGCTGTGATCCTTTTCAGCCCAGGCCATTCTATGATTCTATGACTCTGTGAATTCACACTGTTTGAACCTGGCCCTACCACAAAGCTGCTGCTTACTTCTGATAATGTAGAAGTGGTCTGAACATAGGGGAAAATTCATTCAACTTTTGTTAGGCTCCAGCACTTCTCAAAGATGAAAACCAAAGCAGGACCAACAAATAAAGTCTTTGGAGAGAAAAAGATGGTTTGAGAATGAAGGCCTACAGCACCCAGCCCAAGAAATCCACTGTTGTGATACTCCATGAAATTCAGTCCAGGATGGAGTACTGACCAATCTCTATCATAACTAAAGCAACTGTGTGAGCTTTCCCTCATTGACAGTTGGACTAGATCTTGTAGGTCCTTTCCAACCTTGTGATTCTGTGATTCTGTGATCGTCACAGAAGCGTAGCATCCAACTGTGATGTCAGCAGGACAAATGAATAGTGTGATATCACAGCCTGGTTGCCCCTGTCAGAGGGATGTGGCTGTGGAAGCATCACTGTCCTGAATATTGTGAAGAGCATTTGTCCAAGAGTGGGATGAAAATGCTTCTCTTTACTTTCTGGGTGTTAACTTCTCTAATCAGCAGCATCCATGCAGAAGGTCTTTCCAGAGCTTATGTGTTCTTCAGAAGTCACCAGCCGATCAAAATGGCTGCTACCCAGTCTGCATACTCACACAATGGTAAATGCAGCTCTCCGGTCTCATTCCTTGAACAAGTAGTAAGGATGATCAAGGATCAGTGCTTTCACCTGCATCTTTCCCTTCTAATTTAGTAGCACAGGCAGTGCTGCAGGCATATGTGAGCAGTGCGTCTTATTTTGTACCCAGAGTGTGGCCTCCGACCATCTTTTGAGTCCTTTCTGTGGACTGGCAAGAGGATCACAGGTGGGAGATATGCCAAGGCTGGAGAGTTCCCATGGCAAGTGAGCATCCAGAGCAATGGGAAACACATCTGTGGAGGCAGCATAATCAGTGCGTTGTGGATCCTGACTGCGGCCCATTGCTTTGCAGATGAAGTGTGAGTACTTCTTTGCCCAGAGGAGGGCTGCAAAGTTAGCAAAAGGGCTGGAGGGTAGAGGCTTAGGGGAGAGGATTAGGGCATATAAATTGTCTGGCTTGGAGTAGAGAAGGCTGCGTGGACACATTGCTGATCTCTTCAACTTCCTGAGGAGGAGAATTGGGTAGGGAGATGCTGGTCCATAATGTGCTTCAACTTTTTGTTAGTCCTGAAGAAATCAGACAGTTGAACTAGATGATTGCAGGTCAATTCCAACTCAAATATTGTATTGTACTGCATTGTATTGCCCTACCCTACCCTACCCTATCCTATCCTATCCTATCCTGTCCTGTCCTGTCCTGTCCTGTCCTATCCTATCCTATCCTATCCTATCCTATGCTTTCTTTCTACTCTATTCTGTTCTCTCTGCTCTACTTGGGGTCAAAAAGAACTGCTCAGGCATGATGGAATGATAACACTGCTCTTCAGGATGTCCTTGGGATCAAGTGCAAAATATATGTGGTGGAGTCAGGAAAAGAACTCTGAGAGTTTTTATTTCTTTGGAGAAAGCTATTGATCACAGGTGGCATTACAACAGGAATTTGCAAAAATCTTCATAACCAGAAGATCTAGAAGGCGAATATATTGAAGGATGTTTGAGCATCCTTCTGTAAATGGTCGTGAAGTTGCTCTGCTGCCCCCCCAAACTGTACATCAGCACATGTTGGGGTACCTTGTAAAAAGAGATATATTCCATTCCAATTTATCCTAAGCCCCAAATTACACTGGTATCATATAGCAAACACCTTTACCTTACGGGTAGTCTGACATTAATCCAGCAGTTTCTGGACAAATTAACTCATGCAGTGTCCAATGGAGCAGACTCCAGCCCTCCAAAATAAGGCAGGTTCAAGAGCCAGGACTGTTCAGTGACCTGTGGCACCACAGCCTGGAGCAACTGACAAGGCACAGAGTAGTCATGGAGTAGCCAGCCCTGGGCACAGCTATCCTGAACACCTAGCTCTCCCCATCTGCTCATTAGCTAGGCTATTTAGAACTTGCTTGCATTCACTTTCTACCTCTTCTTCCACTTCACCTGAAAATTAGCTTTGCCTGGAAATGAGGGCTGATTTCTGTGATATTTATAGCTAACCCACCCCTGCTATTTGCAGAGAACTATGGTACCCTGCTCAGGGAAAGGAGGCATCAACCTCTATAACACAACACCTTTCCATTTGCTTACACATATACTATTTTTATGCATATTTTTATGCTCATACATATACTTTTTTTTTTTGTATGTTTATAAGGCCACCAGATATTAAGATTGTAATGGGAGCAGTTGACCTTGACCTCCCACTGGAAGTACGTGAGCCAAGCAAGTTGATCCTCCATGAAGACTTTGACAGAATAACCTTGAAGCACGATATTGCTCTGATCATGCTCAACTATCCCATTGAATTCAGCAACGAGAAAATCCCCATCTGCTTTCCCTACATGGATGACATCAGTTCATGGCAACACTGCTGGGTTGCTGGATGGGGAATGACAGGTGCAGGTGAGATGTTACAGGGATATGTATTTGCTAATGGAGGTTTTCATCCACTTAAAGCAGATGTTCTCCCTCTGGGAGGGGTTACCCACAATGAGCATGTATGCTCCAGCTGAAAGCTTAGAACCCACCATTGCTTTGCAAGAACTCAACCTTCTTCCTTGACTTTCTGAGCACTCAAAGTAAGGCAATTTCCAACCATGCTGGGAAATTTATGTTGGGTCTAAAGTGGTGTTGAATAAGAGAAATGAAGATTCAAGGTTGCCTTTGGCAAGATGCCTTTATTAAACACGTTATTCAATGGTTCTGACCACCCCTTCTTGTACTATATTTGGAAAAGTAGATTACCATTACTAATTGTTCCATTCAAGCCCTAATAAAGTAGCTCCAGCACTGATTGTGACCCAAAATGCCTATCCTGAGCAAATACCACCAAATAGCTAATGAGCTATTTCATTATTGGAAAGAAGTAATCAGGACAGAGTGGGTAGAGTGGTGCCTTGGGGCTTTAACAGTCCTTCCCTGATGCAGAAGCTCATGTCCCATTTTATCCTTGCTATTCTGCTCTGTAGAGTTACTGTCTCCTCTCTGAACCTCTTATGCTTCATTCACTTCATATAACTGTAGATCAGAACACAAAGCTGTGTTTCAATTGTGAGGGTCTTCGATTTCACTCAGATAACATGCTCTTAAGAAACAGAAAAGCAGTTCTGTGGCAATTCTGTGGAATTGTTCTGGCAGGATTCCACCTGCAGTGAAGTTCTCTTTGCCAGGTGCATGGTGTGACTTATTTTGCTATGTGTCAGGCTGAGTTTGCCTCTGCCATCCAAACTGCACCCAGTGGGAAGTTAGTGCACCCAACCCTGGCACCCAGCCCTTCTGCCTGGGAGACGTTTCAGAGGAAAAACTGGAAAAGCTGAGACTGGCAAGTGGGACATGCATTGGTGTGGCATGGGTCATACCAAAAATATAACCTATTGTTCTAGCATGGATGGAAGCATGGTTGTTTTCTTGACTTTTGTAGGTAAACATCACATCAAGGTGACATCAGATGTCACCTTGAGTGCCACCAGCCTGACTCCCTTTTGATTGCTGTCAATTAGACTTCAACTAGACATATAGCCACCTCCCTGGAGATTCTTGTATTAAACCATTTTAATTTCTGGCTGCTTCTATGAAGGGGTTCCTGTTAGCTGGAAAAAGAGCATGAAAAATTTGTCTTTTAAGAAATTGCCTTTGAGTCCTATCTTCCTTAAGGTTGTGTAAAGTTTGATGAGCCTTCTCTTCTCACTTGCTTAACATCTGCAGTGTCAGCATCCCACGTGCTGCAGAAAGCAAGGATGAAGCTCATCAGCCGGGAGGAGTGCTTGGACCAGATACCAAAGCTACCAAAGGATATGTTATGCATTGAGCTGGAGCAAGGATCCTGCCAGGTAAACCATCCCCCAGGATGGCCATGCTGCCAGTGAGGGCACAGTGACATCCACGCTTCCCGTGGTTTCATAGGTTTCTTTGCATTAGGCCAGGGCAAGAAGCTGAAAGGCCAAGGACCTGCCTATCTGATGTACAGCAAGTGCACATAGACCCAAACACTGTGGTACTCCTGGAGGTCAGTGGTGGTTGTATGGAGGTGAGAGCTCAGCAAAGTGTGGTCTGCTTTCTCCTTAATACAGGCAGCACTTTTCTGTTATCAGGTTAAATACAGAAAGAAGACAGGCAGGTCTATCCAGGAGGGCCAAAGCAAAAAGAGTGGGTGAGAAAATGAGTCCAGGAGTGTTTAGTTTTTCTCTTGTGAGGTATTGGCACAGGCTGCCCAGCGAGGTGTGGAGTCAAAGTGTTCAAGTGTGGATGTCACACCGAGACACATGGTCTAGAGTGGTCATAGGTAAGGGTTGATGGTTGGATTAGATGATCTTGTTGGTTTTTCCAACCTTGATGATTCTATGATTCTATGAATGTTAGAAATCTTTCAAAGACTGGTCTTTGTGCTGACAGAAATGTTCTTAGATAGCATGGCAGGTTTGTCTGTGGGTTCCAAAACTAACTAGTTTACATATTACAGTAGGTTAGTGATATGGGATGATGGAGTTTTGAAGCTAAATTATGGAGCTCAAGTAGTATTTGATATAAGGGACTACTAAGGGGAGAGAGCTGAAACAAACGTTGGTTGGATCAGATGACCTCCAGAGATCCTTTTCAACCTCATCCTTTCTGTGATTCTGTGGAATGTCTAGAATTGGGGAAACCTCACACAGAATAATGTGCCCTCAGAACATGCTCCACACACAGAATGGCTGTAATGATGTCAAGCAAAATCTGAGAGCCAAAAAAAACCCCTTGCTTTCATACTGTCTGACCTCCAGCCCCTTCTCTGAGTGCTCTCCCTGTAGCTTCTACCACGATAGGAACAGGGCTAAGACCTTTCTCCTCTACTGAGCAAGGGTTTTCTTAGAAATGTGCCTGTGTTTGAAAAGGGACAGACAGTCAGACACTTGAACTTGTACAACTTCATCCTGTAGGAATCCTTTACTGAAGGAAATAACACCCAGGACTCAAAGAGATTCTTGACTTTAAGGTACAGGCAGCAGGAACAGGGGTGTGGATTGCTCATAGCTGGGTAGAGGAGAGGCTTTGCTTTGCAAAATCTATATTTTTGATTTTTTTTCTTTTTTTACTTTGGAAAATAATTTTTGTTGATTAGCCAGAGAGTGTTTGCCTGTGAAGCCATTCATCTAGTGACTTTCACCTCCATTAAATTCAATCAAAAATGTAAGAAGAAAACTGCCACAGGATAACATTAACGTGATTAAAGAATGCACTTCCCAGCCCAGCCTTAAGTTCTGCATTTGAATTATGCTGGTGAAACTGCAAGAGCACTTTTACCCAGCAAAACTAATCTGCTGCATTCAGAAAACTGACAAGGGTGCTATTTTGATCTACAGTAATGTTAGAGTAGTCTGAGAAATGAACTAGAAATGTGAGCTTTCCAAGCAGTCAAAGAACAGAGTGATTGGATGTATAATAATGCTCATAACCCAGCAAGTGCCCACTTTAGCAGAAGTTTGGCCAGATAGAAATGACTTGCAACCTGAAATAATGAAAACAAGACTAGAATATATGCTAAGCAAGAAGTAGGGCTGTTCAGGGGTGAAACAGTGACATGACTTCTCATCAGGGTTTTCTAATTTTCTGGAGGGGAAGTATTTTGTGGTAGATGGTTTCCATCGATAGGGTTTGGGTGGGGAAGTTTGGAACCAGATGGCAGAGGAGTTGGAACTAAATGATCTTTCCAACCCAAACTATGCTATGGTTCTTTGACTATGATTTTATGGCTCTGTGACTATGATTCTGTGATTTTGGCCTTGCTAGGTTGGTGCAGAAGTCTAGTGTTTTGCTCACAGTAGACTGCCGAATAAGGAAGTGGTAGAGTAGGTCCCAACATGATGATGCTCTGCAGGAAGTCATACTGCTCCAAGTCCAATTTATCGAGCTATTCTTTTCCATAGACTGGGTTTTGTTTCAAATGAAGAAGAGTCCAAATCTCAAAATGCCTAAGTCCTTTACAAAGTGAGAGGGACTTCTCTGGACAGCTCTGTGGGAAGCCTTACTTTATCACACCAACACACATCTGTATTTTGGGGAACCCAGATGGGATTAGTAGCATTGCTTGTGGTTTGGGGTTTGAGGTTGTTGGATGGGATTGGATAAACACTGGGAGATGGGGTGATAGAAGAAGAACACCTTTTATATTTTAGTCTCCTGTCCATGCTTCTAAGTGTAGGTCCTGCCCATGTACCTGGAAAAAGGCATAGAAGGGAGAAGGGTGCCTTTGTTCACTCCCAGAGTTAGACTAAGATGGGAAAGTTGCGTTTAGACCACAGGCTGTAAGTCTGCATGATCTGACCTGGATCCAGAGGATTACCATGCTTGACCTTTACTCTGTGTACCACTTGTGTGATGGATTTTGTATGCTTTTGTATGAGCAACCAGAGCCACACAGATATCTTCACCAAAGTGTCATGTGAAAGTTTTATTCTACTGGTAAAACTCGGTATACTCCTTGATATGTGGCACAGGTCATGAATTGAAAGGCTCAGACTGTTTCATTAGCTGCCATCATAGTATTACTAGAGCATAACTAATTTGTGGATCACTGACTGTATTCCAATACTAATCCAAGGAGGTAAAATAGAAGAGCTCCTGAGTATTTGTACTTAAAATCTATTCACTTAAAAAAGAAAAATGTACTGTATACCAATTTCCAAGCGGTTCTTCAGACAAATATATAGATTGACCATGAATTAACACTAACAGGATCTATAATTGACTTATAGTTCTATTTGGTCATAATCATTAGCATTAACGGATGTTCATGGAGTACAAGTGCTAAAGAACAGATACTAGAGGTGGCCCATGTGTTATTTTTTTGTATGCTATGTTTCTTCCATGACCTCATGAACCTTAATTGATGTCTAATTCCTTGCTTCCTCAAGCATCTTTTGTTAGGCCCTGATGCAATAGTAACTTGAGTGATAATTAGAGTTTAAAGGACTTGCAAAGCAAATGCCTCTTCAATGTCTTGCCTATCCAGACAAAATTCATTAAATGACCCAATTATGTTTCAGAGAGCTTCTGCAAGGGAGGTTCTGTGGAGGTTGCTCAGAGATGTGGTGATTAGGATGGCACTTGTCTTGCTGGATGTCACATTTAATGTATATTTCAGACCCAGGACAGACTTACAGGAGAGTGAACCACTGTGGGACCAGAAGCGGGCTGTAGGATTATTCCAATTCATCTTCTCTGTTCCCTCCTCCCATGCTGTGTTGGGCAGGTGCCAGAGCCCTGGCACAGGGAGCAGAGAGCTCTGGGGTTTCCTCCTTGGGGATCTGCCAAAACAGCTGGCTGTGGTGCTGGGCACCCTGCTCTGGGTGGTCCTGCTGGGGCAGCGGGGAGCAGAGGGATGCAGGGGTGCCCTGATCCCAACCATTCTGGGATTCTCTGAATGGCTCTGTAGCTTTAGGGATGCTAAGGCCTCCCACACCATGTAGCTATAGCCATAACAGTAGTTCTTTGGTGAGATTTATCTGATAACATGAAATGTCTCTTCTACAGCTATTTGCAACTAGCCAGTCATATTTCTATTAATGGGGATAAAAAAAAAAAAAAAGTGATTTTGAATGTGTGATTCATTTGAATTGTTTCAAACATCTGTTTTAAAATGAGGTAAATCCCTGTAGGAGCACTGATCATTCAAGTTCACAGGTGAAGACACGGCTCCAAGGTAGGACAGTTCCCTACAAGGAAGTCTCCAGCATAGTCTTAGATATTCCAGGATCCATGGGGAAGTTTTTCATAGAGAGGACAGTAAGACCCTGGCACAGGGTGCCCCATGTTGTTACCCAGACCCTGGAGGTGCTCAAGGCTGGGTTGGATGGGGCCATGGGCAGCCTGACCTGCTGCCTGATTTACTGGTTGGCAACCCTGCCCAAAGCAGCGGGGTTTGAATTTGATGATCTTTGAGATCCCTTTCAAACCAAGTCATTGTATGATTCATTCTGTGATTCTGTGATATCCTCACGGCATCCAGCTGTCCCCATTTTGAATCATACCCCAGTGGTGAAAACATGATTGGGAGGGGAGCTTGACGTTTGCTCTGGAATCCCTTTGGAGTTGTGATATTTGTCTGGAGCTGCCCTCCCACTGTGCCTAAGAGTGAGAGGTAAACCATGTAGTAGTGACCAGAACTCTTGCATCATTTTACAAGCCTTTTCATCCTTTCACTTGTGCTAACGAGGCTCAAGAACTGTGAAGGAAAACTTGTGAAACAGGATTTTTTAAAAAGGAGGTCTGCAAATGAAACTTGGCTTCATGCAGGTAAATGGTCACAGAAACGAGGCAAAGGCCACAAACCAAGAAAACTTGCTCAAATCCTGCAGCTGTTAAAAATATACACACAGAGGTGGATGGATGATGGTGTGATTGTGGTCTGTAGATGTGGAGAGTATCTGTGTGAGGTCTGAGGTCATAGGCTTTTTTTTCTATCAATAAAAGGTCTCCTGGGGTCTGGCTTTGGAAGCTAGCCATATTTCAACTCTAAGTTGTTACTGACAAGACAATACTGCTTTACTGTTGCACCTTAATATTGAAGAGAGTTACCCACTCACATGTTTCATGATAGATTCTCCACCACAGGACAATTGCTGTCATGTCAAGGTGTAGGGTAGCTTTTTCTTTTTTCCACAGAGCATGATGATTTTAAATAGGATGGTGTTATGAAAAAAAAAAAAAAAGCAGAACAAAGCAGTTGAAAGACATTTTTGCTTTTACAATCTTTTACATTTGCTTCTAAAGGGGCTTTGATGTGCAGCTTATAAGAATTAGAATATTTTCTTGTGTCCCATGGCTTGGTAGAGCTTTCATCAACTGATCATTTTATCGTATGAGCAGGCAAGTGAACGCAGGCAAGCTGTAGTGACTTATTTCTTCCATCTGTGAAAGCTGTTCCTTCCTATGGCAAAAGGTGCTCGTGGTGCCCCACACCTCTACTACAGTTTTGGTCTTTTGTCCCTCAAACTGAAGCTGCTTGGTTTGCATGAATGGGATCCGGCATTATTTGGATGGAGATCTGGGGGGAAGGGGGGAGGGTTGGTGGAGAGAACATCTCTGGATCCAACTGAACAGAAAACCCAGTGAGCACTTGTCCTTGGAGTGAGGTGACAGGTGCAATGACTCAGAGCAGCCTCTTCTCATTCAATTATGCAATGTGAGTCAAGCAGCTTTCAGGGGAAGACATGACTCACAGATAGATTCCAATTCTTTGAAGGAGTTGACAAGCATGTGGCAGAGGGTGATCTAGCTGATATAATGAACCGAGATACCCAAAATTCTTTTAATGAGATTTCTCACCCATGGCTCATGCAGAAAGTGAGCTGTCATTAAGTGGAAGGGCTTTGGTTTGAAAGGGAAGCAGCATGGAGGAAAGGTTTGTTGGGAGAAAGGGCTCTGGAGGTGGGTCCCACTGGGATCCGTGCAAGGATTTGTGCTGTTCAGGGAGGACTGAGAAGGCAAAGCTGGATGATGCCACAACACTAATCAGAGTGGTCAAGATTAAAATGGGCTGTGCAGAGGTACAGGAGGAGCTCATTATTCTCAGTGTCTGGAGGTTAAAAAAGCAGATGCAGTTCATTGTTGATAAGGGCAAGGTAATGAATACAGGGAAGAGCAACTCCAGCTGTACACATACAATAATGGGCTCTAAATTAGCTATTACCATGTAGGAAGATCTCAGAGTGACTCTGGATAGTCCTTCAAAAGCATCAGCACAAGGTTCTATAGAGGTCAAAGAGGCAACAAGAGCATAATGAGTTATTAGGAAAGGAACAGGTAGTGAAACAAACATGTATTATACTAGGGCAGTAATCTTGGAGGCCTACATCATGTGCTGATTGCAGTTCCCATCCACTTCATCTGAGAAGGAAGGTAGTGTTAGAAAGGAGAGTAAAGTGGGAAGAGCAGGGACATGGAACAGCTTCTTGCAGGAAGGGAGATAGCAGAGCACGACTCGGTGGCTTGTCAGATGTCACATGAGAGTATGACACAGATTTCTAAAGTCATGAACAGCACAGGCTGTTCTCTTGTCACTGTCGTTCAAACCATGTGAAGGATGGGGAATCCAGTGATTGTGTCAGGCGGCAGACTCAAAGCAAGGAGAGGGAAGTGCTTTTTCATCCAGCAGATAATTAAACTATGGAGCTCACTGACCAGGATGTTGTGGGTATTCATCCTAAGGGATAAATGAATTCAAAAAGCAATTAGATAACTTCCTGGACAAAGATCTCTCTAAAGGCTATTAACCACTGTGATGTAAATACAACTCTGTAAGCACTTGCCCTGCTTCTCATTCTCCTTCCCAAGCACTTGCTACAGACATCAGTCAGAGACAGGAGTCTGAGTCCCATGGGTCTTTGGTCAGATGCATTATGGCCACCTTTACTCACTGCCTCCATGGCTGCTAATGAACATCCCTGTGGAGAGTAAGGCCTTCTTCTTTCCCCATTTTCCAATGAGGAAATGGAGGGACGGAGCAGGTGGAGGCTCTCATCTGGGATCTCAGAGGGATCCCATGAGAGAAGTCCAGGTGCCCTGTGTTACCTGATTTATCTTTGACACCTGCATGATAAAAAATGGCCATAGCATCCTTTCTTCTACATTCCCTTAAAGATTGTCTGTTCACAGAGAAGCAGCTGAAGAAATTCTCTCTTTGCTACAGCCTTTACTTCCTGCAGCCAGGGCAGCTCTAATGGCAAATCTTATTCACATGCTGATTCTCTCCAATTTAAGCAGAGCTTACAGTATGAAAATGAAACCAGCAATGACTCACAAGGGTTGTGCATCAATCTAATGAGTATCAGATGGGTTGATCTCCCTCCCCCAGAGCTTCTCCCAGCTCAGACAATTTATGTGGCTGAATATGTTTGTTCTGATCAATTACCATTTTGCAGACACAAAAACAAATACGAAGGGAAGATTAAGCTCTTGCTCCAAAGCCCACTAAAGTCAGCAGAAAGGCTCTTTATGTTCACAAGAAGACTTTGGCTGTGGTTGAAAGGATAAAACTTTTTATCAGCCTCAGTGAACAAAGTGCCTTGTTAGTCTGTGACAATTTTGACACAACCCAGAATTATTTACCAGCTGCTATATCTTTGTTCTCACCTCTCCTAATGGGAGGATTAACACGTTGTTGTGGAAGGCATGTGTTCAGCAGCATCTGATTTGACAGTGTTGCCTTTCATTTAGTTCACCAGTTGATAAGAAACATGCAACAGAAGTGAAGATGCTATTTGCAGTTATTTTGCTGTCCAGAAACTTGCCTGTGGGCCTGAAGAGCAGGAGTAGCTATCTGGCCCGTTGCTGAGCAGAACCATTTCACCACTGGGATTCAATACATTCTTCAGTCTTCAGGGTAATTAACCTGAACATTCATTACATTAGTGCTACTGGAGACATCAAGGAGGTGAGATAATTGTAGCAGCACTCAACATTCCTTTGTGCCATTATCTCCTACACAAGGATAGAAAACCCGAGGTCAAAATTTGTTCAGAGCTTAAGGTGGATAGAGGGCTATTCAGAAGTGCCCAACAGCTGGGCACTTATTTTCTCTGTCTTCAGCCCAGTAAAAATCAGGCTCCTGATTCAAATGGGGTACTGCTATTATTAAGTAGAAAGGATGATTTATCCCTCTTTTTGATGGACATGTAAGTTAAATAGCTGAAGTTGAGAGAAGTGGCACCTCCTCTTGCACACACGGCACAGACCATCTCAGTCCACATGGAAAGGTGTCTGAATTAGGATTTGGGTTCTAAAGTGTGTGGATTAGAGAAGTGGATTTGCACTGCCTAGTTCTTTCTCTGGGAAGCTTTTAAATCACTCTTCACAGCTGACAGCTCTCCCTTTCCTCACCAACTGGGTGGAGAACAAAGCAAACACAGCTAAGAAGGAAAACGGGAAATCATCTCATTTGAAAGGAAAACTGCATGATCAATAGCTTTGAATAGGGATTCCTGGCTCTGGCTCCTGTTTCTGACACTGCCTTTTGCAAATCCCATCCCTTCTCTGCCTCTATAAAGTGTGATATTTTCCCCTAGGGATACTCACAAGGTGTCAGGAATAAAGTGGTGTCAAACTGTGTAAGTGCCCTGGGAGAAAGATCCATTGCAAGTCTGGATGCCCTCCAAAACTGGCAGTGTGAGATAGATCCATTCTGCAGATGGTGGAAGCACTGCTGTGCAGAGGACAGAGCTCTGGCACAGGGAGCACAGAGCTGTGGGGTCTCCTCCTTGGGGATCTTCCAAAGCCCCTGGCTGTGGTGCTGGGCACCCCGATCTGGGTGGCCCAGCTGGTGGCAGGGAAGGACCAGAGGGATCTAGAGGTGCATCCAGCCCCAAACATTTGGTGATTCTGTCATCCTGGGGTTCCGTGTGCAGGGGCTCTGCCAGTACTCACGCCTCTCATACTAAGAGATAACAACATGGTGCACCCCAACGTGTCACTGACGAGAGCTCTCCAGCCACGACTGTGTCACACTCACTCTTCCGTCTTCATTCATCTTCCTGTAGGAGGCTCAAAGTGCCTTCCTTCTTCTACCATATAAGTTTGGCCTGTTCCTACCCTGAGGGAATTAGCAGTAACATTCCCAGTAATTTAATTGCTCACACAGCTTAGAAGATGCTCATTCATTCAAACAGGATGGCGTCACCCAGAGCACTGATAATGCTTGGGTCCAGGGTCACTGTAGGGTCACTGTGAATCACACCAGTTCTTGGCCAAAACAGAGTTGAGAAACATCTTTAGATTCTGACTTTGCAAAGGGCCCAACACCGCTGTTTGAGGTACAGAAACATAGCTGTAAGAACAGCACTTCAAAGCAAACAGTGTTGGATGCTGAAGAAACATGTGCTCTGCCTTTAACTTTGCTTTTTTCCTCTCCTGTTCACATGTTGAATTAAAAACAAAAAAAAAAAAAAACAAAAAAAAAAAAAGGAAGATAAATGCATGATGAGCCTTGATCATCCATTTGATAAAATGAGCAGGAATTCTGCCACAAACTTTAGTTAGTGCTGATGAGTTGCGTAGAATCATGGAGTCATAGAATCAAGAAGGCTGGAATAGACTTCTAGGGTCACCTAATCAAATCATCAACCCATCACCATGATGCCCACTGAGGGACCATGTCCCTCAGTGCCACACCTACTGTAGGGAACCTGCTTTAGCAGGAGGTTGGACTTGATTTCTTGAAGGCCCTTTCAATTCCCACTGTTCTGTGATTCTGATTTCCATGGTTCTTGGCCACCTCCAGGGACAGTGACTCCACCACCCTCCTGGGCAGCTTGTGCCAATACTTGATCTCACTGTTTCTGAGAATAATTTTTTCCAATATCCAACGCAATATTGCCCTATTGCACTGGGCAATACTGCCAATTCTCTATTAATTGATACAGATTAGCTTACTGTAGCTGCTGTGGCAAGGGAGTCCATACATGGGTGTTAGAGATAATTCTCAAACTAGGGAACAAACTTGGAAGGGCAACATTTCCCAGGAAAGTTGGGGAATGTCTTGGGAAACATGTTTGCATTGAATTTCTTATTGGCCACACACAAAGTACTGGAGACAGGATAGAAAAAATATTTGAACCCACTGCAGAATGAAACTACTTTATGTAGAGCATGGCTGTACAGTACATAGTTGTCAAGAGGAGTGTTGTATGTGGCTGGGTACATTTTGTGCTGGTTTCTCTTCCCTATTAGGTTGCATTCAGAGGCCATATTCATAGGGTATTCCTCTTATAGGGTGGCTGCAAAGGGCATTTGAGATCTTGTAAATGCTACAAGGAATCTCAGATCTAAGCTGTGATATTTTGAGTCCCTGTTCCCCCAAGTCCTCATGAGTTTGGAATGGAGTTTGATTTTCCTAATCAGCGTCTAAGATGCAGATGTTCTGACAGACCTGAGGTTTGCTTCTGCTCTAATGCCTTTCTTATGCTGTAGGTGGACAGTGGGGGACCCCTGGTTTGCAGCTACTGGAACACCATGAAGTGGTTTCAGGTCGGCGTCATCAGCTGGGGAGACAATTGTGCAGCAAGGCCATATTATCAGTTCTACACTTCTGTCTATAACTACTATGAGTGGATCAAGACTGAGACAGCCATGACGGGGAAACCTTTCTTAATCGAAGGCATAGCTAAACATGTTGTGAGTACCACAGAGGTTCATTCTGAGGCCAAAGCTCAGCTGGTGTTTCTTGAGTCTGCTGTCCTTTTATTTGCTTCTCAAGTGGCAATTGGATTATTCTAGAGCAATTTTTTCAAAACATAATAAAAGTCAGAATGACTGTCTTCTTCTTTTGCTTCAGAACCATAAAGTTGTATCTCAGGTCAGCATGGTCCATCTCACTGAGGTGGATACAGACAGCCAAGTGTGTTCAGACTAGAGAGTGATATAGGGCTGGAGACTTGAAAGGAGAGAGCAAGGATCCAGATTTTCCAGACTAAGAGGGTTACATCTGGCTCAATCGTTTGCTAACTCAGAAGAAATGTCAAGATGCAGCACCTCAAGGAGAGCTGAAACCTTAAGAAAGATCTTAGCTCACTCGGTTGCAAATTAGTTTAGCTACGACATAACTCTGGGTTAATATATCCTACAGCTAACTATCTGTTCATAGGATCATAGAATATCTTGAGTTGGAAGGGACCCATAAAGCTCATTGAGTCTGCTCCACTCAGCACCACCCAAAAATCAAACCATGTGGCTGAGAGGGCTAATGTCTTCTGTCTTCAAGTTGGACCAAACTAAGACTTCCGGATCAGGGTGGTGTGTTGAGCTGCTGGGAAGTGACTACGTGTCAAACTCATCTATATCTCCTTAAGCTAGAAAAAGGACAAGAAAGCCATTGGGCAGTGTTGGAAGCTGTAGCTTCATCTAACTGGTTGGTCCTATTGCTATGGGTTGCAAACGGTACCTTTGTGTTTGTGTTTCTAAAGACACTGGAGAAAGGATCTGGCTAGCTGGAAGGAACTGCTCCTAAGTGTCCAAAAAGTGCTGTCTTCAGAAGTCCCTTGTTTTAGTAATAACTCAAAACGCATCCCTTACAAAAAATAATAATAATAATAAAAAAGTCAAAAGGAAATTGCCGTCTTTTTTTCTCTGCTAGAGGCCTGTTACATGCATTTCTGAGATGTCTGCTTCCTAGTTTGAACTGGGACTGAGCTGGTCCTTTGTGGAATGCTGCCCTATACTCCTGAGGAACCGTATGTGTTGCAAAACTCTTCCTGCTTTTCACAAGGAGATTGCTCTTCTTAAAAGTGGTGGGGAAGAAGGCAAGCAGCAAGGTCTCCTTCATGTCCCACCTTTGCAACAGCATAAAAGCACCTGCAATTTGCAGCAGTGATAAAACTCAGTGACTGTGCAATGGGACAGAACCTCACAAATTGGTTTTAATTACCTTGATATTTTCTGGCTAGCTGATGGAGAAGGCTTGTAAATGAGAATTTATTCATCTACCTTAAGCTAATGCAAACCCATCTTGGCATAAAAGTCAGACTTCATTTTCTGTGTTATCTGAGCAGAAAATAATGCTTAATTATTATTAGTTCTGAGTAATGCTTATGAAAATTGTTGCACATTAATTTCACATGGCTGACTGGCTAATGGATGCATAAGGGTCTTGTAACCCTTTGCAAAAAGACTAATAAAAGCTAAAAACAAGGAGAATATATTACTGTAGCAGCTATTAGTAGTAGACGCTGTCTGCTGGCATTAATACCTATATTTATTTTCCTTTCTATTAATAATATATCAACAGATTCTAGAAGCTATGGCAGAGGCTGGACATTAGGAAACGTTTTCTAATGCTGTAATCTATTTGACTACAGAACTGTTTCCCCCAAAGGAAACGAGAGATGTCCTACTGCTTGAATTGTGTTAATGTAGGGGTTGCATGAAGCACTCTTGTCTGCAGCACAAGGCATGAGAAAAGCCTGCTCTAACAGGGATCTGCAGAAGGACTCAGTCAGTCTTTTCCCCAGCAGCATTTGCAAGGTGATAGCGGTCTGTGTAAATGAGGGCAAGGCTCCTGAGTGATTACAGCTGCTCACTTACTGGGTAGCCTTAGGGAAAGTCAGTATATGCCACGTGCCTCAGTTTCCCTGTCTGTGAATTGAGTTAATGACATCGATTCACTTGGCTTCACTTCAGGAAAGCACATTCTATGGGCAAAGACCAGCTACAGAGCTGCGAAGTCACAAACAGCAGAAGCTTTTCCTCCCTATTTAAATCATCAGAGAACTCATTCAACTAAATTAATCTTGGCCCTTACACACGCTGCTCAATAATTAGGGCGAGCAACAAAATGTTTGGCTAATATTTCTATGCCATTGGTAGGCCTGATGAAAACTTGTAGAAATGCCTATTTCTCTGCAGGGTGTTTGTGTTTTGAGAGAGCATACCACTTTCATCACGATTTTGATGGGAGTGTGGTGAAGTCACACAAGATCAGAATGCAGTTTGTCTTTGTCATTAACGCTGCAGTGTGACCCAATCATTTTTAAGCCTCATAGTACTTCTGTGCTGTTTCATATACTATAGAATTCTGCCATTATGGGTTTAGATAATCTCAGTGGAAACTTTCTAAGCACAACTATCTCAGCTTTTATGTTTCGGGCTATCGTTTGGGATGTTAATTTCTTATCTTAATTTGCAGCTTGTTTCCTGTTACCCTCTTCCTCACATCTAGATGGGCTAATGGAGAACACAGACCTACAGGCAGAGCAAAAGAAATGTTCCTTGTGAAGAGAGACCTCCTCTCTGTGAAGGAGATAAGAGCAAAGGCACCTCCCACAAACATCAGTGGCAGCAATTTAAAAGCCAATATAACAACAACAAAAAAAATTTGGCTTAGTTCTGTAGGATTGAAGGCCTCCATATATATTCATGTGTGTTAGGGTGTAGTCGAGTGAAAAAGCATCATGGATATGGCAAAAGTCATTGGTCAGCTGTTCCATTTGTGACTTCTACTGATAGTACAGTATAGTAGATCTGCAAACTTCAGAACACAGAGGAGCAGCATCAGTTCACACATTGACCATAACTTGCTAAGTAGCCTCTGGACAAGGCTTTTTTCAAACCAAAAGCTCAGTTTACCTGTCTGTAAACATGGGAATAATTTTAAAAGTCAGGAATGTCTCTTGAAATGCACCATTTGTATATTGATTAATCTCTTTTATTAACTAAACTGAAGATATGGGACAGAAAATACCAGTGAGCAGAACTGAACTTCTTGATATGTTCAACAACTGCAGAAGAAAAAAATGGTGTTAGACTACAGACTTATTTTAAGTATGTGTATTGAGGTCTGGAGGACAGCTTGGCTTTAGGATGAATACAGATGGAAGCTGACAGCCCTTGGCTTACTTAATTAAGCCACTGACATCCCCAAATACACTCCAAAAATATAGCCTTGCCTTTTACTGCCATGTGTGAATGTTCAAGCATAATGGACCTACGTCCGTCCTTTGAATGATGACTGTGCTTTCTCATCCTGATGAAACATATCTTCTGCCTGCCTGGCATTTTTACTCTTTGAGCTATTCATTGCCAGGTAAATCCCCCTGGTTTTGGCTTCCCATGACAGTGCAGTCACACTGCTGACCATCGGTGGCTTGGCTATGCCGTGTTTGAGCTGCCCATGCACCTCAAAGAGCACCACCTTGGCCAAATCTGGGGAGTTCACACTCCTTTGCTGTTCTGCCATTGGTGTGCACAACTCCCCACGTTTATCACAGAATCACAGAACCAACACTGGAAAGACCACTAAGATCATCTGGTCCAAGCATCAACCCATGCCTTACAAAATGAACCAGCCAGCAGCTGGTTTCACTGCGTTCTATACTATCATGCAAAAACCTCTGAGTATTTCCGACTGTCTGTGTTGAAAGTATCTGCCTTCCATGTTCTTCTCTTAGAGGTGTTTTGTGTGGTAACGCTTTTTATATTCACAACCAGTTGCTTTCTGAGTGTCTCATCATGACTCATTGCTTCAAGGGCTTTTTAATATGCAATACACTTCGTTCCCGCAGCCCAGACCACTAAATGATTTAGTGTGTGACTGCAGTGGAGAGCTCTGCTTTTGACTCTTCTGCTAGGAAAGGTGAGCTTCAAGGCACCACGAGAAAGTAAAAGCTCCTCTTCCTCAAGGCTTATGAATTCATGGTATGTATTGACACTGAATCTGAAGACATTAGTCATGAAGTAACCAACTCCAGGCCTAACTCGCCTGCCTCCAAATTAGAGAATGAGGAAGAAAGGATGGTGTGATGGGTTATGCACTGAATGCAGGCACGTGGGTATGAATTCATCTCTGTAGCAGCCCTGTGAGATCCTAGAGGATACCCAGAGGGTTGCATGTGAAGAGGTCAAAGTCTTGAAACTTGAGGCAATCCATTGTGAGCCATCTGAAATTCCTTTGAAGAACTATCATTTGGAGAAGAGAGATTTGGTGTCGTGATAGAAGAGAATTTGGACTTGTGCTTTGAGTGCATTCTGCCTATAGATGGGGATGCATTTTCTAACCACCGTTGTGAAGAGTGTTGCTTCAACCCAAGTTTCTGAGGCATTCAGGAAGAAGAAAACTGAGAGCTTTCACTGAAAAAGGGTCATCTAAAGAAAAATTTGGGGAGCAGCCTTGTTCTGAACAGAATCATCAAAAGGTCCAAGCAAAAAATAAGAGCTGAACTGTTGACCATGAGCACGAGTTTACAAACAGCTCCTGAAACAGCATGATGTTCTGGTGGTCTGCACATTCCTTTATTTCAAGGCACCCTCATAATTTGCCTTGATTTACAACTTCCTGGGCAGAGTCTCAAGCTAAAAGTGACACTATGCAGAGCAGAGGCCTTTGTTAGGACAGGAGGGGACCCCAAGAGGGATGCAGCAACTTGAAGGCACTGGGGAAGTGGTGAGAAACCCCCCCAGCCATTGGAGTGTCACTGCCCCAGATACGCTCACAACAAGCTCCAAGGAGGTGGAGTGTGAAGCTGAAGGTGGTTGTGTAGGGGAGCGTGAAGAATCACAAAGTGTTTATTTGAGGCAGGCACAGTTGCAACAAGAGAGTTATTTTGCGCATGAGCAAGCATCTGTTGCTCTGTTTGCACGACTGGTAACAGCAGAATGAAGCTATTCGTGCAGAATGGAGCCTCCCAGCAAACGCATGTGATCACATCCCAGGTGCCTGGGTGTGGGTTCAGGGTATGCTGCCACTTGCAAGTTTACCCGCTTCCAATGCCCGACGTTTGAACCTGCTTCCCTGAGGAACCTGGCAGAAGGGAGCATAATTCACTCCAGAATCCCCTGCATACAGATGTATGATCTTTCAGTGTCCTTTGTTGGCTGTTCTTCTAAGTGCCACAAGGACCTTCATACTGGGTCTGATATGGGATGGAGCTGGTTTTCTTCATTGCAGCTTGTCTGGTGTTCTGTCTTGGATTTGTGATCAAAACTATGTTAGTAACATAGTTAATGTTTTAGCTGATATTTAACTGTTGCTAAACTCTGCTTGCACAGCATCATGGCTTCCTCTGCTTCTCATGCTTCTCAGTGAGCAGACGGGGGGTGCACAAGGAGCTGGGAGGGGACACAGCTAGGACAGCAGACCCTAACAGACCAAAGAGATATTTCGTACTATATGATGTTCTACTCAGCATTAAAAGACAGCGGAAGAAAGAGAAAAGGGCCACATCCAGGATTATGACATTTGTGTTCATAACCATTTCACATGATGGAATCCTGCTTTCCTGAAAATGATTGAACATGCACCTGCTGAAGAAAGTGATGGATGAATTCCTTACTTTGCTTTGCTCACGTGCACCACTTTGCTTCACTTGTTCAGCTGTCTTTGTCTCAACCTTTGGGTCTTCCTTTTTCCTTTCTGGTTATTTCCCCCATCCAGCCTGGGGCTGTCTACCTGGGTTAGCCCCCAACACACTGCCAAGGTGCTGATGCTTTGTAAATGGCCACCAAATTTGACATTACACCAGGTCTTTCACTTGCATTTGGTAAGGCATCCAAACCTCATGGACC